TCCTTCCAGCTGTACGGTACCCAGGGGAAGAGCGAGTTGAATGCAAAGAGGTGCAGCTTCTCAATGCATGCTAGGAGTGAGGCATAGTGGACCATAGCGAAGTAGGCCAGTATAACCCAGACGAACGCCATATCGACAAGGCGATGCTCCCCCTCCCGATCCGAACGAACTCCCAGTGCAATCAGAATCACACACAGGAATAGTTTCCCTTCTATGATGAGCAAGAGAGGAGCGTGAAAGAGGGCCGGGTTGTTCGGATTCGTGCCGTAGGGATGCATGTTGGCCAGCAGATCCAGTGATGCGACGAAAGGATACCCTGTGATGGCGAGGATGTTGGGGTCAAGGTTGAAGAGGTTCCAAATGGATGGCGTCTTTGGAGCATTGGAGCGACTGGGGGAGACATCACCGTATACGAGGTTGAGAGTGGTCGCAATAGTTAGGAGCCACCACCCCAAAACGGCGCCGGGGCCGTAGTAACCTGAGACTCTGGAGATCCCATAGTCAGGTAGTGCAGAGTCCATTAGGAGCCTGAGGTCACGATCGAGTTGCGACCTACTGATGCATGGTTGGAGTGATAAAGGTGGATATATGTCAGAGGCCTACCGGATGACTTTTTCACTGGATTGGACTGTTTGGATTGAGTTCAAGATGGCGCTTCAGTCACTATGAACCGGATTGTCGTTGTGCTACGTGGCATGTTTACGGACAAACAAAATGAGGTAATGTATAAAATGGGGTAAACTAAGTACCGTAAGGGATTTCGCGCATAATTGTTAATTACCAAGTGTTAACTAAGAGGAGCAAATTAGAGCCCAACCTGAGTGTTGTCCTTTACGCTGCACATATAGTAGAGGCCACAGCTTTTCTCGGCAGAAACTAATGCTTGTGTGCTCGTACTGTAGTATTTTATTCAATTCGTATGGGGTTTTGACCTGTGACCACATCAGATCCTAAAAATTTCGTATGATTGGATCAAATTTCTCTTTAAAGCAATTTTTGATGGTCAAATGATGAGATTTGCCGTTTCTGAAGGCCAATTTTTGAGAAATGCCTGTGACATACGAAAAAAATTCGTATAAAATTGGTGGTGTGACATGTGACATACGAATTGAATAAAATACTACAGTACTTGCTGTATGTCAACGTAGAATAGATTAGCAATGTAAAAGCCCCGTATTCATGCACAGTTTCTGATATTAGCTCAAATATTGGTACTGATCTGGGAGAAAATAATGGCAGGCTGGATTCGAGCCTAGCCGGAGAATTCGAAGTATGCCCAAGACGTAGAATCGTACAATGGAACCTGGTTTTATGCTAAGCCGCCGACCTCCTGCTTTCCAAACCCTTGATGAACGACACCGGGATAATTCCATTCCGCGCCACGCCGTGCTTATTCAACTGCTGAACTTCTCGCGCTCCCAATTCGCGAATGTCGACATGCTGGCTCCGGACCTCCACGCGCCAAACTTTCACAGCGCCGCCCTCGGTCGCGGAATCTGCACAGTGCTCCTTCAACTTGTGGAGGACTCTTGAAGACCAGTCGATCCTGGGCTGGAGATGTTCCATATCACGTACGGCCATCGATTCGCACTGACGAACTACTCCTTGGGCGTCTGGAAAGCCGACAAAAATCTCGCTGGCACCAAGAAGGTGGGATTGGATATCCCATTTCTTGCGATTTGGAATGGTCGGCCTGATTTGGGGGCATGCCTGAGAAGAAATTTGGAGTCTGGATTTCAGGACTCACTTTTGTCCACCATGATCCAGCTTCTTTGTTTTGAGCTCAATGTAGTTCGCGGGACAGGGACTTTCCTGGTAACTGGCTTCACAAAGTACTTTCAGAAATTGCCGCAAGCAGCTGGCATGAAACTTATCTTACCGTTGACGCAATCAACCTCACCAACGAGTAGAAGGTTGAGAGAGCCTAGCGTTCTTGTAATCGCAGCAGCCCACAGAGTATTTATATCTACAGGACTCGTGCCTGCCGTACCGCTCGGAGTTGAGGCTGTACAAATGGACTCAAATTTATGCCTGATAGAGTGAAGCAGTCAGTGTTTTTCCGGGACAGTTTGTGAGTGAAACGTACCCCATGTACGTGGCCTCGCTATTGCCGCTGATAAAACAGGTTGCAGAAGGGATCAAAAGAACGAAGTGGAACCCTCACTCGAACTGCCTATGAGAATCGCCGTGCTCTTCCAAGTATAGGACTCCTTGATGATACGACACGTTTAGTTCGATTTTCTCTCCCAGGATAATTCTGGTGCAAAATACAAAGTAAGCATTGGGCCTCGCAGTCAACAATTGAACGGTACTTGGTCATAATTCCGCGCCAAGTCACCACCTCAGCTCTAAGCAATTCCTCGCTGCTTTGCGCAGCGAGGCACATCTTGAAGACATTATCGAGCCGCCTGGCACGTTGGAAGGCACGATCCTTAAACGGTCGCTTCATAAACTCTCTCACATCAGTAAAACAGCAGGTTGGTCTTAGGCGTCTTAGGCGTCTTGGCCAAGACACCCAAGACGAAAAAGTGCGCAGGACGCGCGTCTTGCCACAAGCAGGTTCGGTTTTCTTGGACAGGCATTTTGTCTTGTGCAAGATGTTTTTCGTCTTTCACAAGACATGTCCATCTTTCACAGGACATGTCCGTCTTGCTCTCAGGATACTGTCCAAGAACATAATTCGCAACTGCAGGATGAATAAAAACAGCAAATAAATTGAATTCTACATGGTACAGTGGTAGCTAATCAGAATCAATATCAGTGTCGTTCCCGACATCCACCGCACCACACCGCCAGTGTGCACGTCGAGGTGCACGCCACAACCCCACACAGTCACGGCAGACGAGGGCCGCACCGTCACCGCGCGTTCCTACACTCTGCTCGCTCCCGAACAGTGTTCCTCCTCGCCGCCGCCGCCCATGCCGATCGGCGGTTTGCATCGCCCAGGGCTCGGTGGCACAGCCCAGCAGCGAGCGTGTGTTCCGTCGATTTCGTACAAGCCTCAATCACCACTGCACCGCGACCAACAGCTCCCGAGCGTTCCGTCGGGAGATGCGGACAACAGGGCAGTGTGAGGGCTTGCCCCGGTGGCGGCGGTGGGATGTACGGCATGGCGTCGATTACGGGGCTGGGTCGCAGCCACCCATGGCCACGAGTTCCGCGGGCCATAGCGGCAGCGACAGCAGGGCTGGGTGGAGCGACAATGCACCGCAGTATATGGGGTAGGAGAGGACGACGGGCCCGCAAGCTGCGCGGATTCAGACACTTGCGCCACGTGCACACGTCAAGTGATACGTCGAGCTCGGCGCGGCCAGCCGCCAGCGGCGTTAGCTGCGATGCGACAGAGGAGTAGCATGCTCTGGGGCACTCACTAATCTGCGGCACAGCGTCAGGCAGCAGGTGCGCGACTCTGATTGCGTGCCCCATCGGTATGCGAACACGGTAGCAATCACAGAAATGTGTTAGTGTATGTAATGAGAATGTAGGCTGACTCACCTTGTCGTTGTCCACCACAATGCAGTATAGCCCAAAAGCGGTCTCGGCAGCTATGCCAGGAGCAAGTGACAGTAGCCAAGCCAAAGAACCCTGACAAAGGAGTAGACAGCTGCAGAGGGGAAGCGGTCCTAGGCATTGAAGCATTGACAGCATTGAGCGCTTGAAGGCCGCGGATGCAGACTGAGATTGAGGGGTGGGATACTGGAGAGATTACTCTGCATTGCTTGAAGCCACGGGGGGAGAGAGACAGTGGGGGAGAGACGGGGAAGATGGGGGCAAGAGTCGAGAAGGGCATCAACAAACGTTGTTTGTCCGTAAACAATCACGCAATTAGCACGTGTCGTGCACGTGCCGTGCGGACTTAGCGTTTTCCATTGAGAGAGCATGCTTCAATCATGCAGAAAATGTGTTTCTCTGCCCTCCTATAGAGACACAATTATGAGAGTGGCCCTGGCATGGCATTCAAGAAGGAACAGTGGTAAATTGCTCAGCCGGCCGCTCTAAATAAAAGTTTTTTCTTTCTTTTCGTTTAGCAAAATTGCAATTGCCGACCACTGGGCCCTAGAACCACCGTAAACGAGGTTTCATTTTAGATTACAGTGCATAGTAGTAATAACTTACACCTAAATCAAATTCTTAGATGGCGAGACCTTCCTCAAGACCTGCTTCAAGACCAATGTTGAATGGTCGCTGGGCAGGACAAAGTCGGGGCAGCCAGGATCACTTAGTATACAGGACACACTTACATTCACAAGATGCCCTTCACAAGACAAAGACATTTAACCCAAGACCAAAGACCATTTCACAAGACCAAAGACCCTCTCCCAAGACCAAAGACACCCAAGACGAACCTGCTGTTTTACTGATGCAGACCATCGCGTATATTCGCATTCATCGGAGGGTGCACGAAATAACGTAGTGCGGCGGTGCTGTCGACTTCGAGGCGACTGTCGCAAACGGAGAAGCATGCTGACTGCTTTGCTGGCCCCAGACGCGCAGGAAGAGGACAGACGGGAGGGTCAGATACGTTTATGAGGCGAGTTGGGGGGTGCTGGGACAACGCCATGGAGGTTCGAGAGATGGCTATCGATCGGCATCGATAACAGCTGCCTCGTTTACTTGTATGGGCGCTTGCGGAAGTTTAAATCGGCGTTAATGTGATGAAGACGTCGCTTTGGACGCCATCAGTTTTGATAGTAACTGACTCGTGTTTTTTCTTTACAGCGTTGAATTTGGAGTAAACCATCCGTGGGCAAAGACAAAAAGGATCAGAAATTCATAGCATACAAGTCAGTCCTGGACCAACTTGAACGCGATCACCCGACTTGAACGAAATTCGATTCTACCTAGTACCTGCCATCATATTATGTGGATTCGCATCTTTCCTCGAAGGCTCCGCACCAATTGCCAGGTAATTTCCGAGTTATGGTGGTACTCGAGTAATAACGGAAAGGTTCAAGCAGTCCGTTTTTTCGGGAAAAAAACCTTTCAGGCAATGCACCTAGTGACCACCGCAGGGGTCGAACCTGCAATCTCCTGATTACGATTATTAGCATATTCAATATCGTAGTCAGACGCGATGCCATTTCGCCAGGCGGCCTTGGTTTACCAAACATGTTATCGGGTCGTAACGAACATCCAACTTGAATGGCACCTTTAACCGTGAAGGAGCGTTCGGAAGGTAAACCGTACAGATTGAGAGCTCATGCATCGACGAACGATAGAGCCATACGTCGTAAATATGCTACTCCCTGGTGCAAGGATTTCAGGATGGTGGCTAGTGTCGAACTTTCACTTACGGAGTTGGCAAAGTTTGGGCAGATGCCGCAGAGTTAACTAGTACCAACATAGTTCATCAAAACTAATGAATTTAAAGACCGATGTGTAAATGGGAGGTCTTGAGAGCCATTAACCGGGAGTTCGTCTTGATGAAGATGAAGGAGTCATTGGAGGTCACCGTGTTCACTGTCAAAATAGTAATAAGGCCCTCGAGCCTGCCGGTCTGTTGGCATCGGCCTGAAAGTTTCCTGACATGTCCAAAAATGTTGATGAAGCTGCCTCTGGATCGATGCAACGCGCGGACTTCAATGAAATATGCATGAATTGTGCTCGACAAAGTGCTCGACGGCCCGAAACGGCGCTCATTGCACGTGACCTCAGACGTGGCTTGAAAGGTCCCGCTTTCTCTTTCGTCAGGCCAGGGCCTAATCCAAGATGATCTCTTTGCCCTTCTTTGTCCCGTTCTCGGTGCCGCCCGCATCGCGTCATATGACGCGATTGGCTCAGTCAGCAGCTCTCAAGGCATGAGGCGGATGCCTACCTCTACGTTTCTCATACCATGGCGTCGCCCAACTTCTCCTCTGTGCCAGTGCTCGACTACGCGCGCGTCTCGTCTCCGACGCTGAAACCGCAATTCATCAAGGAGCTGCAGCACGCGCTGATCAACGTCGGCTTCTTGTACCTCGCCAATGTCCCCGTCGAGACAGACGCGCTGGTCTCCTACATCCCGCGTCTGTTCGACCTCCCGCAGGCGGCGAAGGACAAGATCAGCATGGTCAACAGCAAGCACTTTTTGGGGTACAATAAGTTAGGGTCCGAGTTCACCAAGGGCAACAGAGATTGGCGCGAACAGTTCGATATCGCCACGCCGCATGTCTGTCGCGCAGCGGAGGGGAGGGGAGACCCGGATTACTGGAATCTCTGGGGCCCGTCGCAGGTGCGTCCGATGTCCCCACTTTAGAGATGTATGCAATTTGACACTGCATCAGTGGCCGGACGAGGATCTTCTGCCTGGATTCAAGGACGTGATGGAGCGCTACCTGCTGCAGGTCCAGCAGCTCAGCTACGACTTCTCCGCGCTGCTCGCGGAGGCACTCGGGCTTCCTACCGCCGCGCTGATGCAGTTCTACGACCGCGACGAGCTCATGCAGCATCGGGGCAAGATTGTACGGTATCCGCAGACGGATTCGGAGACGCAGGGCGTTGGCCCGCACTACGACGCCGGGTTCCTCACCTTCGTGCGTTGCGTTGTCCCGCCTTCCTGGCTGCGCTGACCGCGCATCTAGCTGCTCCAAGCGTCGGGGCACAAGGGGCTGCAGGTGCAGAACCTGACCGGCGAGTGGATAGATGTCCCGCCGATCCCCGGGACCTTTGTCGTCAACATCGGACGCGGTGCGCGCATGCACACCCGGCAACGCCAAACGCTAACCCGCACCACTTACTGCAGCACTGGAGTTCGTAACGCAGGGCCTCGCGCGCGCGACGTCGCATCGCGTCGTCTTGCCACCAGGCGACACCGTCCGCGGGCCCCGCTACTCTGTGCCGTTCTTCCAGAACATCGGCCTCGACGTCAAGCTCGCGGAGCGCATTCTTCAGTGTACGTAGACCATCCTGTTTCCTGTATCGACGTGCGCGTGTCGAATGTCCGCCGCAGTCCCGCCGGAGATCCTCAAGCTGCGCGACGCGCGCGGCAGCGTCGGCGCGACGGACTGTGCGTTTGCGTTTCTTCCGGGAGTAGATGCTCGCCTCAGATTGCATTCGCAGCTGTCAACTTTACTGAATTCGACCGCGAGACGTCTGGGCGCGTGAACCTCATCGGGCGGGTCAAGTGCGTCTCCTTGCGCTGTCCATAACCGATCCACTGATGTCGCTACAGGAGCCACCCCGACGTTGCGGAACGTCATTATCCCGAGCTGTTCAAGCAGATTTTCCCGAACGGCGTTCCTGCGCAGGTCAGTGCGTATTGACGTGACTCTATATGTTACCTGTATGTATGGGATATGAAGGAAACGAGGATCTGTCAATGTATAGTGTATGTTCAGGAACTATAAGTCTTGCAATAACGTTAGCTACTGCAGCTCTTGTCCCGAGGAAAAAATGGGAAAACTTCTGTCTTTCCGGATACACGACAAATGCGGCGAGTCGTTGAAAGATGAGGTGCGCGCGACAACGACATCCTGGCAATGCTGCCCGCTGTTTCTGGAGATCAACATAAGCTGCTAGTCTTTTCTGAGAAAGCGAGGCCTCCTGGATTTCATCGAGGCGAGGACGGGCCGCATCGGACCTTGAAGCGGGTACTACCGAATCAGGCTTCGCGGAGAATACTGTACCAAGTTGAGTTGCATAAGTCACTTTTTAGTTTACGGACTCCCTTCCCTGCAAGGCAAACTCGACAGAGTGATGGCTCTCCCTTTTTTGTTGTTTAGTTCTTTCTCCATTGCGGTGTAGAGAATCCCCAAGGAGCTGCGGGTTGCAATGGCAATGTTTCAACCTGTTTCAACCGCAGTTGAACATCTGCCAACGTCACTATGCTAACCATCTGTCAATTGCCGCACCCTAATATACATTCGTCTCCATGAGAGTCGTGCTACCTGTTACCTGCTGCCTACTTTCACCTTCACCCAATGTCTCTCAATGTTCCAAAGAATTCAGTACGCCTTAGTTCCTTCGATTCGACCGGATTGGACTCTTCCAATGTGCGTTAATTCACAAATCCCTGATTTCTGTAGACGCATGCATTGAGTACATCTATAGTTCGTGAAAGATGAATTCGGCCAAGAAATGTCTGAAGGGGCAACCATATGGCAGGAATATACCAGGGCAGCTGATGCACACGATGTGCAACTACTTCGGCAGTGGAACCAAAGTCTGGATACTATGCTTATCGTTGTGCGTGTTACGATTCTATCCACTTGTCGTATTTCTCACCTTCTACAAAGGCTACTTTATTCTCCGCAGTGGTCACCGCCTTTGTCGTTGTGACATTTCAGGACTTACAGCCCACTGCACAAGACCTGACGAACAACTTGTTGTTGGAGGTCGTACATGCCCTTAAAAATCCCCAGATGAACATCTCCCAGTCTCTCGAACCTCCGAACTTTATTCCGTCCTCAATAAATATCTGGGTCAATGGCTTGTGGTTCACCTTTTTGGCTTGTTCTCTGGGTGATGCTGCCATAGCTATGCTGATCAAGCAATGGCTAAATGCATACTCTGCGGGCCTTCCTTCATCGCATCAGTTACGGTCCCGCATGAGGCAGCACAGATTCAATGCACTTATTGAATGGAAAACGGCTCAAATTATTGGTTTTCTCCCATTTGCACTGTCTGTCTGTGTGATGGTGTTCCTTGCTGGGCTTTCAATTTTGCTCTTTTCCCTCAACAACGCAATCGCGAACTTTGTTCATTCTTTTGGTAATGTATTTTAGCCACAACCACATGCATAGGCATCATATGTATATTTCATGTTGCCAGCCTATTACTTCCGGGACTATGCAACTCTCCGTGGAAAACTGCAGTTTCACCGTGGATCTATGGCATCCTGTTTCCTCTACGGGAAATCCTGCGTAGCGCAAGGGTTCAGAATTTTTTTTCCAATGGTTGGAAAATAATTCTGAAGCAAATAGCAGTCTCATTGTTCAACTTGAGCCTTCAAACCTTGATAGGGCTGAAGAAGATTGGCCAGTTACTACGGAACCAAATAATATTCTCATTGTCCAGCTTGAACCTTCAAACCTTGATGGGACTGAAGAAGATTGGCCAGTTCTTATTTTCCACCATAGTGATAATAGGTTTTGGGCCTTTTGCAGTGTTGGTGGAGTTGGGTCAGTGGATATGGACTTCGCTACCAGAACTCATGCGTACATGGCTCAGAAGACTGTTCTTGTTCTGTATTTGGCCGTTGGTTCTGTTGTACATGTTGACTTCCTATCTCAAATCCTATTCCGCACGATACCGCCTTGTCTATCCTCCATATCTTCCCTCCCCAGAATCGGTAGGCAGGAGATGGAAAAGAGTCCTTTCCAAGTTCCACTGGCCGCACATTGTGGTATTGCGGTGGAATTCAGCGTCAGAGCATGAAGACGAGATGGGACTTATCAGGGAGCCGAAAGCCTCCCATTGGCTCGACGGGCAGGCCATCCATTGGATGGTGGCCACATCCACGGACAAATCACTCACCCAACACAGTATCCAGTCTTTAGCTGGACTTTCAGCAGATTTTGAACATATTGACATACTTGAAGCACTCCTCCTGCCAGTTCGAATGAGTTTACTTTCCGGACTGAGGGCAGAGCACCTGGAACATGATAAAATCGAGATGAATGCACGTGCTCTGTGGCATATTGAATCCAATCTTGCTATGAGAACTGGAAGACATGACAGAGGTTCTCAAATGTCAGATCTTGTCCATTCACAGATCAAAATAGCAGAGAGGGTCTTACGGCGCAATTCGATGGCTTTTATTGCTTGCATCTGTGCCTGCAGATCCCTCAACGAAATCACCAGTTTGCTGGAAGTCATCTGTGATAGAAATAATGTGGACTCGGAATGTACCCCAGTGCACACAAGAATGATGGTTGAAACATTGGCTCAGGAAATATCACGTAGAAAGAGAACCGATATCAGTCTGTGGACTACAACGCGTTCCGAAAATGCTCTTGATACTGTTGTAGTACCGCTTCTTGTTAGACTTTTGAGCTTCAAAACGGGTGTACCAGTTGTTGTGCAGGCTACATTTAGCACTGGTTTTCCGGATGAGCCCGCAATTTTGAATGGAGAAATGCTGCATGTCCTTCACGAATATGATGATGGAAGGGTATT